CGGGGGGACGGATGTGGGGGGACATGGGGGAGTGATGTGTGTATGTGTGTTGATAGCGGACTGGGGGGAACTGGGTCGAAAGAAAGAGTTGGTAAGTGAGAAAAAGAGCGAGAATACGGGGCTTTGTAAATTAGGGAGTCTTCAGGAATAGAGAAGAAAAAGAAGGATTTGTTGAACTGTTATTACTAATCATTCCTTTTTCCACCTTATGATCTGGTACAGAGCTGGAGCGGTCTTATGTCTTATGCCGAGGATTATTGAGGTATGGGTAGAGTAGGGTTCGGCGTTAAGGTTTGTACGAGTACAGTACTGGTACTCGTATGTAAAGAGATTCAAGGTTGTATTTAGGTGCTGTAGGTAGGTAGGGGGAGTGAGCGAGGGGAGCGGGGAGCGGAGTGGAGTGGGGTGGATCACATGCTTTGCATAGGTATGTGAAAGTGTGGGGGAGTGGAGGGCTCAGGGAGGAATGAAAGTTTGTAGGTATGAGTAGGGAGGTAGGTAATATATTTTTTCTATTGTATGGTTATTTTGTACGAAAGGTACACCTTATTTTGGTTGTAGAGCGGTGATAGGGGGGGTTTGGCATGCAGGTATGCTGATTCATCGGTCGGCAGATGTTTGGATGTTGTGTACCTATATGTGGTAACGTAACCTGTGTTCAGTAATCATGAATGAATGGCATGCTATGTTATGCTACGCCTTTTCGGTTGGTTGGTTGGTTGCTTACTTGCTTGCTTGCTTGCTTGCTGGGTGGTTGGTTGATGTAGGAGTTGTGTGAAGGGTACCTATGCTTGGTAGAGTACAGACTGATTGAGCCGAAAGGGGAGATACCTACAGTAGCTGACAAATTGTACGTGCAGCCCGTAGTGTAGTGGAAGTTGGCACGGGATTTGGACCTGAAAAGGATTATTGGAGGGGAGGGGATGAGATGAGACGAGATGAGGGGTGGGTAGGTGTTCACTTCCTAATACCCTACCGCACTGGATTGGGTTGGATTCAATTGGATTCCATTGTTACTGGGGATCTTGTCGGTCGTGAGAGATGTGAGGTGAGGAGCTTATACGTACAAGATCCAGATCCATCTCCATCATCACTTCCATCCACCACTGGTGTTCACTCCTCGGGGATTTTTCTTCTGGTCGTATCGCTTCGCATGGCAAATAAACGGCTTTGTGAGCTCTGGCGCACGGTTTAGGTAAAACGGAGAGCAGAGCAGAGCAGACAGGGCTGGGCTGGCTGGCAAGGCGAGATCTGAGTACAGAGCTCGAGGTAGATGCGATGGAGGGGTATGGTTTTCTTCCGCCGCGGCACGAACAACAGGAACGAGAACAGGGATAGAATGAGTTTGCACTGCCGCTTCTTACGCGTGGATCTGGGGAGGGGTTTGGGGGGGGGGAATGTTGATGGTGTTGCTGCTGGTGGTGGTGTTAACGTTGGGGTTAGGCTTACGGCATCATCAGCCACGGATGCGATCAGTAATCAACAAAGCGGGTTTTCGGCAAGGGATGGGGAGCTCGGAGTTGACGCTGGTGTTCTTACAAAGACGCGGCGCTTGGAGGGGGAGGGGGAGTGGGGGAGTGCTAGTGTTAGTGAGCGTGTTGATAATGGACCACTTGCCCGGTATGGGAGTGCTGGGGGATTGGTGAGTGGACTTGGACTTGGATTTTGGGATCAGAATCAACGACAACAACAACAGACTCAACATCAACATTTGACTCTGAATGCGGAGAGGATGACTACTACTACTACTTCTTTAGGATATACCACGACGAGGACGGGGATGGGCGGACGGGATTCCTCCTTCATGGACGCGGCGTATCCTGGTTCCCGTTCCCAGGAGAGACATTCGCGGCCGTTTGGGGGCAGTTTGGGGCTGGGCATTTTGAATGCGGAGACGTATGGTGAGGGGATGGTGAGGAGGGTGAATGTTTTTGGGTTTGAGGGGAGGCCTGGGGGGGAGGG